TGTAGAGAAATATCTCTACAAAATAGGAGATAGTTGCCATTGTGACATTTGGAAAAACATTTATTGTTCCCTCTATGATGAAATTGTAATAATAATAATAATACATTTTATTTAAGCGCCTCTCTGGGCACTCGAGGAACACCATGACTTTTTTAATTCCTTAACTTTTCATCAGGTCAACTTTTTCCATTATTTTGTTTTTTTGACCAAATATCTGCAAAACTACTGACATTCCCATCAGCTTCAGCTGTACTTTGTGTTTAGTGCTAATCAGCAGATGTTAGATGACAGTGAACATTATACCTGCTAAACATCAGTGTGATTAATAATCAGAAAGGAATTAATTCTGTAATAAAAATAAGGTTTGTGATGGTTTATATTTTTTGCTGTGTTATTTGTTGGTGTTTGATATTTTCAATGTCTTGTTTATTATTTATCACATGGATACGGGCGGCGACGCAGAGCTGATTTGACCATCTGTTCACCTGTGTGTGTGTGTGTGTGTGTGTGTGTTTAATGAGTGGGAGAGAGGGTGAGCCTGCTCGCTGCATTTTTTGTTGACTGCATCTTTCTGTTTGATCACTGTGAAACCTTAATTAGGATTTTGTGCAGGTTATAATAAGTAGATTTTTTTCATTAATAAAAGTTGTTATCTCAGAAAAGACCATCCTCTCAGCAGCACTTTGTTTTCCTGATGTTGCTACAATCAGCAGGTAACATTATCATTGTGATCATGGTAGCATGCTGCTGTTTCACCTCACAGCGACACTCGAGTGACTCTAGACTCTTGTCTAATTTATAAATGAGGACGCAGTAAAATAAAGACTATATGTACACAGCAACAAATGATTAATGAACATAAAATGTTTTGGTTATAAGCTGCAGGATTTAACAGACAAACCATTCAGGATTCGACTTACAGTGGCACCAAAAACAAAACCCCACATCTGGGCTGCGGTGCTTACAGCTGCTCTCTCAGACGCCACAAAAGCCACATTCATTCCACACAGACACACTGTGACACACTGTGACACACACACAGAGACACACACACTCTGATGTCATAGTGAGCGAGGCGGCCATGTTGGAGCCAGGCGGTCCTAGGAGGAGAGACGGAGCGATTACATAACAGCAGCAGACTGAGGAAGGACGCGCCTCAGAGAGGATGGAGGAACACATTGTTGGGACAAAATGAGGATGAGGGTGGAGGGAAGGAAAAGGTGATTAACATGATTCCTCCATACATGGAGACTTTAGGAGGATGAAGCTGCACTTGTTTCACTGTTACTCAGTATTTGCTGACATTTCCGTCTCCATCTGCTGCTCCTCCTCCAGGATGTTACATATTGATGACTATAATTCAGCCAGTCACATCCATCTGGAGCTCCGACGTCACAGCTCGGGGCGAAGATGACTCGGAGCGGGGGGGCAGGATGATGTAAAGACTCCAAAACACACACACACGTGCAAAACACACACACCACATACTTCCACATATGCACACACAGTCTATAAATAGACCTCTGCATCAGGCTGGAGATCCACCACAAACACAACAAAGTCAGCTTAAAAACGTGCCGTGTTTCAGCCGAGCAATTAAAATGTTAATTAATCCAGGAAGCCATGAAAGTGGTCGGTAATAAATCTTAATGTTTAATCTGTCCAGAGAGGTCTTAAAAGGACCGTACCAGTGCTTCTTTATGTTTTCATTTAGTACTTTACTGACGGCACTTTTTTCAACCATTGGTTTTCATTCATTCTCAAACACTACAACAATATATTGAGTTGTGAAATCCACCACACAGAGAACACAGAGCCCCGTTTTCGAGGCGGCACAATGACCAACACAAGACCTTGACATGTGCCTTCCCCTGTGCAGCCACAAACAGGTGGGAGGTTCATTCAAATGAGACAGCACAAAGCGAGCTGCTTCTGTTGGAACTGGGTCTTAGACTGCGCTGAGAATAGACATCTCAGATAAACACGTCTGTTTCTGGTGCGACTTCAATCTGCTGCGACTTGGAGCAAATGCACTAAAATAACAGAATAATGTTTAAATACACACAAACTATTTTAACTCTACAAGCAGCAGTTCAATCAGAATGAAAAATGAGTCTCTGCATTCAGTATCTGTTGTCCACAGCTGAAAAGTTTCTCCTTCAGTTCATTAAATCCCTGCAGCCGTCCGAAGGCAGCAGGACACTGGATGTGGATAAATCTGCAGCCTCTCATTAAATCACATACTAATGACACCAGACTGCTGCACAATAAACACAAACACCTCTACACACATCAGACTGGTCCGTTATAACTCGATATTCTGTCCGTTTATACCGGAGACGTCAGATTACCAGACCTCATTAATGCCGTACGTCATGACCTCGTTTCCATCTTTCTTCACGGTTTGTTTTTTCTTGTTTTTAATTCATGAATTACAGAGCAAACGCTGCTGTGTCACAGGTTATGTTGCATTGACACAACATGCGTCACTGTGATTGGTTCAGCTGCTTCAGAGCGACGAGACCGGTGATGTGATTGGCTGAGAATGTATTTATTAATCAACACACACTTCACCGTCACCCACTGCTTTTGGCCATGTCGCTGTTAAACTACAGAAAAATATGTGACAGAGATTCAGAAATGGATCCAATATCTTCCCAGGGAGGAATATAACTACTGTAGGTGACAAAAGGTTATATAACTTTCTTAATTTTGCTGCTATAAAAAGTCTAATTATTACAGTGGACGAGTGATAAGTTGGTGTAAAGTTATATTCGAGCTGCTTCCTTACAGATATTCTGAGTACCAAAGCAGATCAATTCTACAAAGTCTGGCTCTATTTGAACGATCTTGGACTTGATTTTTCTTCCATTATTGCATAAAGAGTCTACTGAACCTGAACTCCTGTACTCTGTGTTTTACCTGCAACATGAGCTATTTCCTGTTATCGCCTGTATGTTTTTTTTAACTGAGCTGTTTTTGTTTGTTTGTTAATGTTACTGTTTCTTATGTTTGTGTTGTTATTACTAAAGGTTTGTTTGCACTTTGCGCTGCTGCATTTAAACTGGGTTACCACCAGTGTTGTGCAGTAAAGCATTAGTTTGGTAACATGTTACGGTGATGTTAACAATTTGAAATACAGTATTTATATTATAGTTACTAAATCCTAGTAACACAACGATCGACTTGTTCACTGTCATTATAACATCCATTATAAAACACAATATTAGTAGTTTTTTTGTAATTATCTTCAGAGGCTGTTAGGTTTTCTATTTAATAATGAAACTACTTTGCATTTATGAAGTAAGATCAAGATCAATTTCTTTTTTTAACATGATTTTATGTTTTTTTTATCCATTTAGAGGATTATGCTGGCTGTGTGTTGTATTTTGGACTGATTTAATGTGACTTTGCTGTTGTGCTCTTTTAATAAATAAATAAAAACTACATTTAAAAATGTTCAGCAGAAAGGATGTACAACATTTCGAGTGAGTACTCATGGTTTAGAAATGTTTATCTGGAAGCCCTAATACCCGAGGGAGTTTTCTTACTGTGATTACGAGTATTGTGCATTGTACTCCACCATCATATCCATAATCACATAATAGCACCCTGTGGCTAATTATGGGCTCTGCACAACAATTTATAGCATATTTACAAGTGGGAGCATCTCTCTGGAGGGTTACAGATGGAGCCACCTTAATAACACATTTGACTTTTCAGTGTGGGACCAATGCAGTCAGTTTTTGCATGTTTATATTGTCTGAAAGCAATTAAACCGGGCCACATTTGCACAGTCCATTCTTTGTGCTGAATTAGAGCTTGAACATGCAGACTGGGGTTTTTATTTAATCAGCAGTATAGACCCCCACAGGATGAATTTACCACACCAGTCTAATGAACTGGCTGGCTGGGGTCACCTTTAGAGGAGACCCACGGCAGGAATAAACACATTAGTTATCCTCAGTACTCACATTTCCTTGCAGAGGACTCCGATGCGCTCGTTTTCTTCCTGGTATTTGGAGTTCTGCTGTTTCAAAGCCTCAAGCTGAAGAGAAACACAGACAGAGATATATATATATATACACACACCAAGTTAGAACAACAATCACAATCACAGGAGGGTTAATTTTTTTCTTTGGTTCATCTTTTTAAATAATATATTCACAGCTCAAATGTTGTTACACTTGGACTGGATTTATTCTCTAGGAGAGTTGTGGTGAGTTTAACATCACCTGCTCTGGTCAGCAAACCTGTGCAGAGTGCGTATGTGTGTGATTTTCCACCTGCAGCCCAGTATTATTTACAGCTGCAATTACTTTTATTAATTTTTGACAAACTCGTTGGTCTTCTCGTAATTTAAATCCTGTCTGGAGTGACGTCCTCGTATTTTAAAGAGGAACTCTTGAGGGTGTTTTTTCTGCATTGCTTGTCCTTCTACTTTATTTTTTAATCAGTTCAGTCAAAGCCTATTTGTTAACCAGTACAACAACAAAAGAATAAAACCATCAGGAGAGCACCCTAAAAGTTAATTTAATGTTATCCCCTGTTGTGTTTTTCGGCTTATACGAGTTTAGATTTTGGCACAGGCACCATTAAAAGTATGGTGAATTAGCTGTTAGTGGTTCCTGTTTGCAGTGAACTCACTGATGTGCAGACAACCATCACTGGATTACTTTCAAACTGAAGAGAACTTACAAATGTGATGATTCTCAGGACATCAGAGATAATATCCTGACAAAGTGTCCCCATTAAAGGGGCACTCCACCAATTTTACGCATTAAGGTCAGTGTACTTGTCATGGTTAGTATTACTCTTTACACAGCCTGTAAAAACAGCCGGACAAAGTCCCCTTTGGATCTGATGATTTCATCAGGGTTAGCCAGCATTTTCAGTCCAAAGTGACGTCTTTAAATAGTTTATTCTGTCCGACCATGAGTCCAAAACCCAAATACATTCAATTTACTATTATATAAGACAAATAGAAGAAGTAAATTCGCACACTACAAGAGCTGAAACCAGCAACTGTTTGGCATTTCTGCTTAAAAAATTATTTAAACCATCAGTTATTGAAATAGTTGCTGATTGGAGCAACGCCAGAAACTTGTGTCCATGAACCACAACGTCCTTTGTTAGAGTCCGGCCAGAAACCCCTCTCTCTCCTTCACTTCCTCTCATCTCTCTACTGTCTGTAATAGAATAACATATATAACTAAAAGGGGGAAATTCATTCGAACTACCAATCAATTAATCAACTAATCATGACTACACCCATGTCTCATTTAAAAGCTTTTACATCCAAGGAGAAGCTGCAGTCACACTAGAGACATTCTGGATTATTAGGACCATTAAAATACACAACCCCTTGATGTCTGTGATGAGTCAGCAAACAGCAGAATGCGTTTAGTCCACGTGAAACTAAAAATAAAAGCTCCAGAGACGTCAGATCCTTTAACTTCCGCTCATGCAAACTTTTTGTTTCTCCTTCAAGTCGGACATCTGGGATGCCAAACAAAAACCTCATAAATCATTCCTGACAGTTCAAACTGAGTTTCAGACACGCGCTGCTTTAAAATAGCCGCAGTCAATAATTAATTAACATGTATGACTTTTAAAATCAATGCCTTTGCTTCGACTGGCTTCAGATTAAATAAATAAATAAGTAAATATAACTTGTGTGTAAGGATTCACACTGTAAGGCGTCTGCAGTATGTTTCTGTTTGGGACATTAACACATTGTCGAGTGTGTCATCCACAGTGTTTTGGACGCCTTGCACGGGAGTTTCTGACTTTTTAACCCCTCAGCATTTATCTACGCCTCCGAAGTGAGATCTAGTGTGCAGAGCAAGCTCACAAACACACAGAAACATGCACAAACACACGCAAACATGCAGAGAGCACACAGGTTATCCGCTGGGTCACAAGCACAAGTTATATCATGAAATCTTACACCAACAACCAGACAAACAATCAATTATGAGAGCTAATTAGATAAAATAACAGCACTTCTTCCTGCTTGAAGTGGCAGTAAAATGTCCTTGTGTTGCAGCACTGATTAGGTTTTTTCTCTCAGTTTGAGAAAAGCTACCTACCTGGTAGTGAGGCGAGTAGATGTTACTGGAGTAACCCTGATGCAGAGCAGCTATGTCCATACCTACACAGCTCACCACTGCCGGATTTTAACCTCTGTTCAACCTGCTACACAACAGCGGTGTTGTTGCTATGCCAGCACTCGACCTCTGTATCTACAGCATAACATGCACAGGCTAACACAAGCTGGGCATCAATAAACCATCAGCTCTCATCCCCCGCCGTGCACGGCTGCGAGAGGGAGAGGAAGAGAGTGTCGCCTGAGCAGCCTCCCTCTCTCTCTCTCTCTCTCACAGCTGAACACTTTCATTATGTAAGACCGTATAAGCTCCTCCCAGACCCCCCCGCCTCCCCCTTCTGCTGCTCACAATCTTGTTTCCTCACACCATATGTACACACACAGTCTAAAGGATTCACCTTTCATTCATGGTGTTCGACATGAATCACAGCAAATCGAAGTCAGCTGCTGTGCTTTACAATAGAAGGTCTGAAGAACAGACGCAGCAACTGATCATAGTTTTCATTAGTAATTTAATCATTCTGTCTATAAAATGTTAGAATATCTTGAAAAATAGTGTGATGTGAGATCGACCAAAAGGTCCCTGGTTCGATCCTCGGCACCAACCGGAGGGTGTATTCCAGCTTGATCTGGTGAATGAGGGTTGGCTGATATCAAATCTATGATGCCCACTGCCCACCATCTCTGCCTAAGTGCCCTTGAGCAAAGATCTGAACCCCACCATTGCTGCACTACAGGCGACCTTGCACTCTTACTTCCCTGAGGTAATGTATATGTGGAGTTATTGGAATTGTTTGATCACGCAAGTCGGAAATAATCCAACGCTGCCGCCACTGGAAGTCTACAATTATTAATGAAAGAAAGCCAGCAAATAACCACCACAGAGAAACCGTCAAAAACGGTTAAAATACATAAATAATACAAAACAAAAAGCCAGTGGTGGAATGTAACTAAGTACATTTACTCAAGTAGTCTTTTCTTTTCCACTACGCTTCATTTCAGAGGGAAAGTTTTTCTTTTTACTTGCACATAAAACACAATGAAGAGCTCATAAAATGTGCTTTTTGTTATACATTAAACTACCCAACAGTTCATACAAGTACAGCTGAAACAGATCAGATTTATCAATTAGTTGATCGACAGAAGATTAACTGGCAAGTATTTTGATAATCGCTTATTTATTTTATGGTTCCAGCTTCTCAAATGTGCAGATTATTATTATTATTTGTAATAATTTTGAGGTTTGGTCAAAACAAGCATAGTGTAACAACAGTAACAACATTCAGAATTGTTACAAATCAAACAATCGATCAATTACTGGTTGAATCTATAATGAAAATAACTCAACCGACTACAACAGTAAAGTCCTGCTTTTACATTAATGCCTGAGTCATATGATCACGAATCATATATAATTTAGATACAACAGTCGTAACATTTAATGATTAACTTAAATACTTGTACTCACTTGTAACAGGGTATTTGTATACAGCGTGTATTTAGTACTTTTACTGAAGTTTCTCCTCAACCACTGACACAACACAAAAATTCATCGATTATAAAACTGTGGACCCACCAGATTGTGACAAGCACCAAAGCAACCAAGAGGCGATTCAATCAACACCGTCATTATATATAGCTAATGTTTCTGGTCCAGCCAGGCATGTAGACACACACACACACACACACACACACACACACACCCACACACAACACACACACACACACACACACACCAACCACACACACACACAACACACACACCACACACAGACAACACACACACAACACACTCTTGACATGTTGCAGATAC